CCACCCACCCACTCATCCACCCACCCATCCATCCACTCACCCATCCACCCATCTACCCACCCATCCATCCATTCATTCACCCATCCATCTAACCATCCATTCCATCAGCCCTCCCTCCCTTCCTTTTTCAATAGCAAACTCCATTTATTTGTTTATTTCTCCTACATCCGTATGATGTTATAAAAACAAATTCAGCATGCCAGCATTTCTTCCTTTATTCAGTCATTCATGCTAAGCCCCAAGGCAGGACCAAAGGCAAACTAAGATGAATGAGGCATATTTCCTATTCCTGAAGTGCTTCCTCTCTTGATGGAGAGACAGGTAAAGGAATCACAATATACTATTAGTCATCGGTTAATGCTGTACAAGGGCTGTGGGCAAAGGCTTTGGAGGTACCAAGTCATTCAGCCCAAAAGTTTCAGGGAGAAGATGTCAGAGCTGGGTCATCAGGACAGGGTCTTCTAGAGAATGACCTTATGTTGACAGAATGTGGCCATCTTTGGCTAACAGCTCCCAGAAAACCATGACTCATGATGTCCAATTGGCCCATTAAAAAATTAATTAATGGCAAGTAGATTTATTTGTATCTCATCAAAATTACACAATAAGAAGACAGCCTTGGTATTTCATATTTTCTTCTCTCAAACAGACATCTCTTCAGACAACCTAGAATCTTCATATCTGGTATCTGTTCCTTCTCTGTTTATTGGTACCTTTTCCAGTTAAGGACCCTGCTCTTGAATCTCCTCTCAAAACTTACTTGGTTGGGTGAATGTTTGTATCTGTATTTTTTTTAAGTAGGCTCCATGCCCAAGGTGGGGCCTGAACTCACGACTACGAGATCAAGAGTGGTATGCTCTACCGAAGGAGCCAGTCAGGCGCCCCTGAACGAATATATTTTACCCTTCCAGGAAGCACTCTCTTTTTACGTCGTCTTTTATTGTGGTAAGATCTACCTCTAAGCAGGCGTTTCAACGAGACCAGCCCTAACACGCTTCTGAAATAGACACAGAGGCTCTGCCCGCTCCATTGAATGTAATAGCGTGTCCTCGGGCTGACAGTATCGAGGTCCCTCCAGCACTGAGGTGCCTATCCATCTTTCCAGTGTCATTCAAATATCTTGTGTTTTCTGACACTGTACCGACAAGGGTGCCTGGATGGTGGGCTTGCACATGAGCGTTTCCCTCCTGGGCAGGGGTCAGCAAACTTCCTCTACAAGGGGCTGGACAGAGATAGTTTAGGCTTTTTTCAGGCCACTTTCCCTGTCACACAGTCCTTTCTTAAAAGAAATCACAAAAGCACTTTGAAGTATAAAAACCACTTCTTCCATAACTATACAAAAACAGGCCAAGGGCCAGATTAGGTCCTGGTTTGTTGACTCCGTCCCCAAAGTAAGCCAGTCCAGCCAAGTGTAGCAATTCCCAACTCCCAGGGAAACAGCTCGGGGCTCCTGGGGGGGGGGGGGGGCCATGAACAGCGGCCCCTCACGTGGCTCTCAAGAAAAAAAACCACTGAAATCACACCTGTCAAAATGGAAGACAGTGCTGGCCTTCTGAGGCTCTTTCTTAAGCCCAAGGGCTAGAAAACACACACGGGGAAAGATATTAAGTAGGGCTGGACACTGACATGCTGGAGGAATCCACGAATATGGGTAGAATCTTGGGAAGAAACTCCAACAATTAGAGACGGTTAACGCTGGGAGGAGCCAGTGTGCTGACCTTGGCACTGTGCGTGAACTCACACAAAGGAAATGGTCATCCCGGAGAAGTCCAACGGCTCTGTGGCCATGTCCTCGTCATGACACCGGGGTCCCCGAGCAGTCGTGCTGGAGGACAGACCCGGGGCCCTTATGTGCACACCATCCACAATTCTTTTTTTTTTTTTT